TGGTGCAACTTGACAGGACGCTAGAAGGGTACCTTCGCCACACAACGCTTGCTCAGGAGCACCGAACTCCGTCCTGCTAGGCGTATTAGTCGTACACGTCTTGAAGATTCAACACGTTGACGACGATGGCAGACAATGGTGGCTGACAGCCAGTCTGTCTCATGGGACGATGGCAGACAATGGTGTCTGCCAGTATATTTTCTAAGAATAAAGATGAACGAACAGCCAAGTTCGTCGTAAACGTGTCCCTGGGGGTAGCTTGTACCTCTGAAATGAATACCACAGCTGCTTGGCGCGGACTACCTGGCGCCCGCGCCACAGGCGCCGGCGCCAGACAGTTAGGGGCACAAGTCATGAAAGAAATGGCGAAAAACTTTCGTCAGTGTAGCGCGCGGCAAGCAGTTTTGGGCCAAGAGGATGTAATATTCGTCTTCAGGAGGTCAAACTACCCCAGGAGACAAATTTTCAGCCAAATTTGCTCCCAGAGAAAAACTTTTTAAAACTGGACTGATTTCTGAAGACTGGAGCAATAAAAGCTAAATTGTGTCGAAGATCGAGATTCGTATTCTCACCTTTTGCATTTCTTGAAACACTTTGACCGTAGCCATTCATTTATCCAAAAATTACTAAGTTTCTACGAAGAAAAATGTCCCGTCCCACGGGCAATTCATGAAAAAACGGCTCGTGTCAACGTGTTAACGTGCTAGCTGCCTTTGAAGATAGTCTCCGCGCTCAAGCAACTCAGACCACCAGAACTCAAAAGCTAGGGGGGTTTCCGTTTTTTTTTCGTTGTTAGGTTGTATTAATATTGAATGAAGCAGAGAAACGATTATGGATCGAGAGGTGGCAGGATATCGCTTGGCTATCATAAAACGAGCAGGTCCTTAAAACAAGTGCTGAGAGGCTGCGTGAGCCATGATATACTTTAGGGCATTCTCCAGCATGGTTTTTTCGCTCAGCTTTTTCTCAGATAGAGAACATTAATTAGCATCTATGGGTTTGTGATTGAGCGCAACTATCCATGAATAATCAATCAACAGGGTTCGTGTTTAGCTCCCGTTCTGGAACTGCTTCACCAGTTTAGGGACAACAATGCTTTCGACGCTTCGAATGTTTTATTTTTATCCCAATCAAGAGTCGCTAAACACTCAAAAGTGGAAGCAGTGAGGATATGGTTACCAAGTTCGATGTCTTTAAGCGCTGCATAAACTGGTTTTAGTTATTTACTTACGTATTTTGCAAGATTTGGAGAAATAAGTGGAGCTCTCTGTGTTTTGCTATCCATTATCTGTGAAATGGGTTTCTCGTTGATACGTGAATAACTATGATGATTTAGTTAGCAATAGAGAAAAATCATCTTGAACCTTTAAAAATTGGGTGCCCAAAGAGGTCTTATGATTCAACACTTCATTGTTTGCAGCTTTTACGCGAAATTTTCTTCTAAGTTGGTAATGTGTGGAATAACAAGCCGATTGCGTCAAAAATAGCTCCGATTTTCAGTACCCAAAACGTTTCACCGACTAGCTCGTGATATTTGCGATACAGAACCTTTGGAGGAATACTGCAAAAATGCAAGTGGCGCAACCATCGCTCTCTCGTGCAGTCAATGTGGACATCCTGTTGTTGATACCACATCGAGGTCCGTTATCTTGTTTTGATTTGAGCCGTACTGTCGGCTTACCTTTCAGATTCTTCGGAAAACCAGTGGCCTCTCCCACCCCCCCCCCCTGCCATCCTTGTACCCTCTTTTTCTACTCCCTTTCTTTATTTGAGTCGTTTTGATTTAGTAATTGTAGCGCGATTTCATGGTTTCTGCCCCGAAATGCAAGAATGGACCCTTTGATCTGTTATTGTCATTTTCGACCTCGTTTGTCTTCAGGATTCTCCTTCTTTCGTGACCAATAATTTCTTCGTCTTACTTCAAAAACGGACTGTTCAACTCTACTTCAAGAAAACGGACTGTTCACTCACCTCCGAGGATGTTCCTTTCCATGTGCGAGGTCCGCAGCTGCAGTGGCATTTCACTTTATCCTCTCAAAAGGGCACGAGAACGAGCTGGATGGTAATGGTACCCAGGCGCTGTCTCCATACTCCACCCGCGCTATTCTCAAGGTGCAGCACCCAAGGTTCCGCATCGGAGCCCGCACTCAGCTATAGAGAACAGAAATGAGAGAGCGCAGACGAGCTCTCTCACTCTCAGGCAGCGTTCAGACTTCGCGACGGCAGCGCTTCGATCGCGCGTTCGACGCGATCGATGCAGTAGAAAGCATGCGCATCGATCGCGCCGAACGCGCGACCGAAGCGCTGCCGTCGCGAAGTCTGAACGCTGCCTCAGATTGGCCGTGAATAGGCGTGCTTCGGGCCGCGCGCCAGACGGTACTTGGGTATCACTACACTTCACCATGTTCCTTTGCACCCTTGATCGGAGAAACTGGCACGCTGTTGCGACTGCGGACGCACTCACCTCATCCTTGGCAAGGAAGATCTTCGGTGGTGAGTGTACAGTTTATCTTCGATGACGCATGACGCGATCGCCTGTAGAACAGTAGGATCCTTTACTCGTTTGAAACGTTTGGTGGCTGCGCGGTTGTCATAAGCCGAAGGTGCGTCGCGCACAGAAGGTACTTGACCTCTTCGGTGCGAGCGGTTCCATATCTACAGAAATAGGTTCGATAGCGTGTGGAGGAAGTCCCGCTCATTTTTCTACTCATCTGGCTGTTCTCGCGTCTTGTTTCTTCTGGTCTCATGCCCACGCAGCACTGTCTCGCCTTGGAGTACCGTAATTTTCCTGAAGTCTTATCTAGGTCTCTTTGACGGGGTATAAACTTCTTTTTTTTGTTGATAAATCAATTAGCTTCTACGAGATCATATCTAGAACAGAATGAGCTCACTGTGATTGGGGGATGTGTTTTTGTTCCCCCCCCCCCCACCTCCTCTACGTATACTGTAACAGGCCTGCCTATGTTTCCCTTGAGATAGTGATGTTATTTCAGCAGCATTTCTCTGTCATGTATGCCGAGTGATGACTGGCTTCAGACATCGCCATCCGCTGACTATTATTGTCGCGACTCGTGCGGAGCAGGATGTGATCCGGAACGGTATAACATAATAGTTTAGAAGCATTTGAAAAGAACGAGCAGACTTCATGTGAAAGCAAAAGGATAAATAAAACGTTTCAGGCACAGCAAACATCGCGATGGTACAGAATCAGCCACAGTGCACTCAGATTGGCTTCCAAATAACAAACGATTCTTGTTGAGTCATTCATATGTTGCCGTCAACAAAGAGGTTCGTGATGAATTTATGCGTATAGCTCAGTACATCCGAGTCACGCCTTGTATTTCTTATCTAGTTAACTTGACTTACTGAAGCGCTGCGACATTGAATAAATTTGGTACTGGTGCGAATGCCGCGCGTGCGACATTCGCAGCAGTACCACATGCGACAT